GTGGCATACATAGTTCTCCTCCCCACAACAACAACCCTATGAGGTAGGATAGGCTGAGAGTTAGTGACTAGCCCAAGGAGTGTGGATTTGAACCCTGGTCTCCTAGGTTCTAGTCTGACACTTTAATCACTACACCACACTGATGTATATTTCCCCACAGTAGTACGGTTATACCAAGCCCTGATCATCCCTAGATGCACAATTGCTGTTCCTTGCATAATGAATAGCAGAGGACAGACAAGCAACTTTTGTTTTCTTTCCTTGTATGGCTCCAATGATTTAAAAAGCCGAGCAAACAGCAGAAATTTATCAAATGGCACTTTTCTCTTGACTGCATTGGCAAAACGCTGACAAAAGCATCACCTGATGAAAAGTACAGTAGTCCTACTGGCAAAAAAATGTCTGGTAGTTCTAGGTAACCTGCCTGTAGCAGAAGGAGAGAGTATATTCTGCTCCTTTTTAAAAGGTCAGGCTAAAATGTGTACACCTGTGTAGGGCAGAGGGAGCACACATTGCTCAAAGAGCAGAAGTAAACAAAAAAAAAGTTATGCAAAAGATTAATAACAATCTTATTGGTGTTTGCCATTCGTTCACCAAGTGTGCAGTTCAGTGTATCTCTATTCAGAAGCGAGCACCACTGAGTTCATCGGGTGTTATTAAAAACACAAAGCAGTATTCAGCTAAATAATTGAACAAGCAGAACGGCTTTCACTTGCACAATGGGACTTTCCCTTCCCTTCCTTGCATTCCACACTGTCCCCAGATCTGCTCCAGAGTTGGGGGGACCCCTGGAACAGATTTAGGGAGCTGCAGGGGAAAGAGATGAGGAGGGAAAGTCCCTTTGTGCAAGCAGAAGCCATTATGTTTGTGCAAGTTGCTGCTTTGTGCTACTTGGAATGCAACCAATAAGATGCATTTGAGATGACCTGCTGACTGAGCATTCATCCTGATTAGTTTGCAGGGAGATTATATGATGGTGGTTAATTAAGGAGTGTTTGTCATGAATCCCATGGAGGTGTCCTGAAGGAGATGATCAGAAGCTCGGGGAAGAGATGGAGGGAGGAGCTTAGAGAGTTGGAGCTGGAGGACTCTGAGAAGGGCCCTAGGCAGGGTGTGGGAGGTGGAATCAGTACCCCTAAAAGTGTCTGGTTCCAAGGAGGGGTCAGTGGCCTGTAGGGGATGGAGATCTGGTTCCAGGAAAGGAACCAAGACGGTTATCAGAAGAGTGCCTCACTCCTATGACATCGGACACTCCTTACGTCAACAAGGAACCTCCCCATTCCAAGAAGGTGACTGAGAATAAGTCAGATGCTTAGCAGATTCCGACCACCTCTGTCTCTTAAAAATGTGTGTGTGTATATGATTTTTAAAAATATAAACATACAACAAAAACATTTCAAAATCCAAATATCGAGATTGCTCTGAATCTCCAGATTTCCCGCCACCATCCCTTCCATGGGTCCTAAAGGTAATGTTTACAACTGCGTGTCATTACCTATCCAAATTTTTATCTTTCTAAATTGTCCATAGTTTCTGTTACTTTACAAGTGTGATTAAAATCCTGCCAATGTTTTAACTTGCTTACAGTGGTCTCGTATATAAATTATAAACTTTTCCCATTCTTTTTTAAAGTTCTTGTCTTCTTGATTTGGCACGCATCAAAGCACACGTGAGGGATCATGGCTGAGTCAAGCGTCCTTACACTCTTCTCTCTTAATAATCTTTTGGATGTCCAAAGCTGTACCCTGGCATCCGCTGGAGGTTCATGTCT